CTAGAAGCATCTGCCGATAAAACCGATGCCGGTAGCGACAAAAACTGCGGGGAACTCTGCAAAAAATGCATCTTCGCATGGGCAGCCTGTGCGTTGGCCAATTATTGCATCTGTCATCGGGATACCCAAAGATTTCATAGGCAATTCTTAGCACTTTGCCGATCGACCCGGATTTCTAGCACACTTCGCTGCATGGAGAACTCGCTAGTGTAAGTTAGTTGATCAAGTTTGGTGTACTTATTCTCAAGCTGTATTTATTCTCACGCTTGTCCGGCTGATATGAACCTGTCAGTTGGCAAAAGCAGCATTATTACGGATTACTGGTTCTTTAATGCAGCAAAATTGTACTAATATGTCCTGTTTGACAGGGATCGACCCACCTTCAGCTTATTTCTCAAGTGGCTCTCAGGAAGCGGACCATCCGCAGGTTCTACAGCTCATCCCTATTGTTATAAATTGAACCACACTCGATATTTCCCGTCAAAAGTAAAATGCGAAAAGGATAATGGCACTCTGGAGATGCAGGATAACAAACTTACCGTTTCGCCTTTCGATAAAAGATAAAGGAGATGCTGCCTTGGAACGAATGGGATTATTTGCGGTAAAAAACGCATCGCATTACCTGAAAAAAATTTTTTCCTTGCACATATACACCACGGCAACTGTCAGCAATTCAGTCCAAGTTCATTAGCACAAATCGTGGTACCAATTTACTATTTCTCTTTCCACTTCGTCCTCAATTCACTGTTTTAGGTAACAAATTACTCAAGTTACCTAAAATTTTTGTTCTCTTCTGTTTATGGGAACAAATAATCCAAAGCAGCACGGTTTTGCATATTTCAGTTTCCTGTGCACTGCAATTTAGTAAAATCGATTTATTCATGCTGATAGCTGAGGCATTCCTCGCCATTTCACTGGCATATCGTTTCACTGTAAACTGTTTAGCAAAATCAAAAAAAATTTGTCGTATTGTAGCTCCTTTCTTCAAAAGTGTTCTATTTCAGCGCCGCTTGAACGCACTACAGATTAATGGACGGCGGTACCATATGTGAGACTTGATGCTTCTGAAGACTCTAAAACAAACAGCAAATTCAAACCCTTCGTATTTCGCAGTGTTTCTTCGATAGCTGCTGGCAATGTACCTGAACGCGAATCGGCACCATATTTCAGCAACGCATCCGAATATCGACTATTATAAGCAAGCAAAATCAGCGAAGGCTTCTCGCTTTCTGCAGTAATCACTCGCCCACTGTCATCCTATATTATAGTGAAATATTATCACTATCAAAAGCTGCTTAGTTGCGACACAAACTCAATAAATAATTATTGTTTAATTATCTAAAGCAAAAAAAACTGCGTTGCATCAAGCACTCTTTTTTGCAACGACGAAGATGAAAGGCAGCCAGTAACAATAACAAGTTGGCTATTTGCATCCACACTTCCAATCTACTATTGTATTTATTATTCCTTTCATACCCCAAAGCCTTAGCTTTTCATATCCACTCATCGCCTAAATCAAAAAAGAAAAAAAGTGCATGAAATCCAGCATTCCAAGCTGGAATAACAAAGAAGGGAAAATGGAGCGACTATGCTAAGCCCACCAGCAGCAAAAACAGCTCAAGCAAAGCAGTTGCATCGAGAAGATGAATGCCTTCCCTTTTTTTATTTAAAAAATTCAGAAAATTTCGAGGCATGAAAGCATAAAAAGGAGAGCAAATTATAAGGAAAAAAATCTGAAACATACAGCGAAAGTGGTAATGAGTTCGGTCGGTGCAAAATGCGACGAGAAACGCTTCGTTCCACTCATCTG